AAGGGTTTCATGAGTAATATCTCTTGAAGATAACGGATGACCATCTATGACTTCTACATGAACAAGTTTAGTTTTCTTCACTAAAAGTATGTTATGTCTTTTAGCAAATTCTTCATCTAAGAAACATGTTGAGGCTCCTGAATCTAATAAGGCAAAGACTTTGTAATGTTTAGGTCCTAAAATAACATTTATTATAAAACAAGGAGAGGATTCTAAGGAGAAAATAGGACCTTCACTAGGTATTGTAGAAGGTTCTAGCCTTATGGTCCTTATTATAGCTAGACAAACTCGTTTTTTGATATACTATCTTCTTTGATAGCCGTACTCCTCATTTTATAGTTGCGTTGCTTCTTTAGGCAATGTTGAGCAGTGTGCTTAGATTCTCTACAATATAAGCAAAATCCTTCCTAATGACGATGAGTCTTTTCTTACTCGATAAGAAGTTTGAAACGTACTACATCAATTTGTATATCCTCTACTTTCAAATGTATATGTTGAAGAGGTATTGGTGTTGCCATTGAATTACAATAACATTGAGATCCACTTATACGATTCTCTGATTGAAATTCAACAACACAATTGTCGTACTTCACAACAAAGTCAAATCATTTCTATATCTTCACTTCCTACCAATCTTGTTGTTCCTTATAGTGGTAAATTGAGTTGATGCATTGCAAGCATTAACTCCCTCAATTGTTCTTGCATTTGTGCCATTGCACTCTTCATTTCAACAAGTTCTGCCATAATAACTATGAGTGTAAATTTCACCGCTATATCCAAATTACAAGATGGCCCCAATTAAGACTTGCTTGTAATAGGTAGTGTGAAGTAGAAGATGCAATGAATAAGAACAAAAGAAGAAAACAACACAAACAAGTGAAAGAAATGTATACAAGCAAATACACACTCCAAAACTTAGTCATAGTCTGTTCATTGTGTTTTCACCCAGTAAAAAATAAAAATAAAAATAAAAATAAAAATTATATTTTTAGATAGACAATTTTTTTTATCTTTCCAATGATATAAAAAACATGTAAATCCGAGTTACTATGAGGAAGTTATGAAGGTTTGTAATAATGAGTAAATAAACAAAAAGTTAAGTGAAAATATTTTATCTCAAGGATAATTTGCTTATAAATCAAGGGTTTGAACCTCACCAAGGCTCACATGTAGTGTATAAGTATGTCCAAGAGAGGCCACGAAGCCATAGTCTTATCCTCCTAACTACTTTAATAAAATCAATTTAAATCCATTATAAATCCTACTTTTTGTATAAATAACTAAAAAGACATGAGATTTTTTTTTTCTCATGCTTCTTTTTTTTTCTAACCACTAATTAAAATTTATAGTTTTTTATAAGTAATACATATAGATGTAAGATCAATATATATATTCATCTTAGTAACTAATCTTTATTACTTAATAATAAGTAAAAATACTAAATCAACTAAAATAATTGCCTCAAATACTTACTAAGATTCTATTTCTTTTCTACTAATACTATTCTTCTTCCTTCATCTCTTCTAAGCACATCTTCACCTAACAATTGTAATTTTTACACTCTACATGCATTCTTTGACCTAAAAAAACTAGTGAGTCAATTTGATGACTCATAATAATACTTAAAAAAGATAAAATATCTAAAATTGCTCAAGATAAATAGAAGAGATGACTTGAGAACAAAAAAAATACTAAAAACAATATTAGTTTAAAAGAGGGTAGTCTGCAACTTCTAAAACGCTTATATCTTATCAAGAGAAAGGGATAATCCACTCTATATCAAGATTAGACAAAGCTCTAATATTATAAGTGCACTCTTCTCAATCTGTCAAGGACAAGAACTTGATACAAATAAATAAACAAGTGAGACTTTTCTCAAAGAAAGATGAAAAAAATAAAAATAACTGAATATGTATATTAAGAAAGATATTGAAATGGTTATTGCCAAAAGACAAGAAAACTAAAAACCCTTAAAACTAGACTAGAAGCAAGAAGGAGTTGATAGGAGTAAAGAAGGCTTCACTCTTGTCTCTATATATATTATCTACCTAAGAGCTATGTGGCGACATTCTATAGAACCTTCAAAAACGTATTGACTTTGCACAATACGTATCTTAACTTGTAAGGCAAGTTTTTTATGTAGGTGCCACATAGTTAGCTTGTTCCGCAAGCTACCAACATAAGTAGCACGTGATTAACTTGTTGACCAAGTTTCTAACCTACCAATCAAGCATAATCACATGTAAAGTCATAGTAGCATCTATGAAGCTTTTAGGAAGCTTCTTTAGAAGATATTATGAAATTAATCTATTTTTACCTACTTCCATCTATTCATATCACTTAGGTAACAATTACAATAAATATATGTCTGTAACATCACTTAACATAAAAAATACTTAAATAAAAAAAAATTGAAAAATATTATATATATATATATATATATATATATATATATATATATATATTAACAAACTCCATTTAACAAGCTAGATAAGTTATTTATGTATTTAGTTATTTCTTAATTCTATTTTTTGTATATTTATTTAGTTATTAATCTATATTTATGTATTTTTTTCTTGTTCTATATTAAAAAGTAATAAATATATGAGAATGTTAAATAGACTTGTGCTTTTACTAAATAGATTCACTTTTGATGAAAAATATGATAATTATGATAAATGTGGTTGATTTTTATTGGTTGCAAATCTAATAATAAAAGAATGAATCTAAAAGTCATTATTATTTTTTATGATGGTTAGGATGGGTGGATCAATTTGGTAAAAAACTTAGGTCTATTTAACATTCTCCTAAATATATATAGATTTTAATAATCAAAACATAATATTTTTTATTTTTGAAATGTAATTAATGATGTTACAATTGATTACTCTTCAAATATAAATACAAAGTATATTGAGCATGAGGTTGTAGTATGAAAAAGGTTCCAATGTGAACATGGAAACTCCATGTAGGCAGTTCTTTTATTAAACATAAGGCTACAATGTAAATTGGGCCCAATAACACTGACGGAGCCCTTATAAAGAACTTTGTCCATCTAGCATGAGGCTATAGTGTAAGATGACACTAATAGAGCTACTCAAAGAAAACTTTGTTTATCATGTGATTCATATTTTTAAGGATATGATACAACTAATTTTAAATAGTATTAACAACCTTAGCCAATCAATGACTTTTGTAGATAGATACTATTTTTAATATAAATGGATGTATATATATATATATATACATTCTTATAGTCTTTTTTAAAACAAAATCATGTCAATTTCTTATTTTTTCTAAAAATTAAAAAAATATCATTATAAAAATTAAAAACTTATATTTTATCAATTATTATTATTATTATTATAATAAAAATATTTCAAATTTTTACTATTGAATGAAAAAATTAAAGATTTCATAAAATTGATATTTTAAATTTTATTATACTCATATTGAAAAGTTAATTAGAACAATTTTTGGATATCATTTTATATTAAGAACTCTAAAAGAAGAGGATAAAAAATAAGATAAATCTATATAATAAAATATAATTTAAACTAATTAATAAAATTCATTAATTAAATTTTAAAATATTTCTACTCCTAAGAATATAGACATTATAAGAATTTGACTTATTGTATGGTGTTAAAGAACAATGACCTTGTTGTAACATACTTCAAAAGCATATTAATCTTAGATTTTTTATATTATATATAAAAATTGCTTATGCAATTAATCTTCACTACTTTATTTTTTTACTTATTTTTAATAAAAACTGAATAAACTATATAATTAATTTGGTTTAAATTTTTTGGCATCTTGAATAGAATTGGTAGTTTTTCCTCTATAATTATAATTTTAGGATGCAAAATTTTTACTTAAAAAGTAAGTAATAAATATAATAAAATAATAATTATTGGTATTTTTTTCTATTCTCATAAGATAGCTTTTAAAGCTTTATTGGTTGAAATATTGAATATCATGTTATTAGAAGAATAAAATTTTAAAAAAATAAGAACAATAATAAAAAAAAATTTATATTTTGTATGTTTTAACTTTTAATTGTTAATGAAATTTTGATTGACTTTATTTAGTCTCATTATAAAGATCAAATCAAGAAAAAATACATATTAGATTGGAAGAAAAAAAGGTTATATATATATATATTCTTTCAAAGAAGAATAGAATTTTTATAAAAAGATAATGTTTTAAAAAATTTAGAGACACTAAAATTTTATTAAGTAACATAGAAGAATAAAAAGAAATATAAAAAACTATTTTAAAAAAATAATTGCAAAAATAAGAAATAAGCCAATTTAATACAATTCTTTTATATAATTAAAAAAGTGATTCAAATAGTACATTAATTTTATTTTCTTATTTTTACTTTAATAAATAAATTTTATGTAAGGTTTAAAAAGAATATTAGAGAATAAAAGTCTTTAAAAAAACATATGTAGAAACTCGAAGAATACTATAATATTTTGTAAAAACTAAGCTATTTGAGAATATTTTAGAAGAATTTTGTAACTTAATATTAATATTTTAACAAGTAGCTTTGTGTTTATTTAAGTAGATTAAGTTTAATTGTATGAATTTATGGTTGTTGAAAGCAATACTTTAGGATCTATATAAAAGTAGGTTGTAGGATTAAAGGATTATGATTCTTGCATCTTTAAAAATTTTAATTGTTTTATAATTATTTACATCTAGTTCTTTTGCTTGCTATTAAAATAAAATCTTAACTATATTAGATTATTTTTTATTGCATAAAAAATATAAATATGTATGATTAGAATATAATATTTTTTAATTTATATAATCTATTTAAATTTCAAAACTCTTACTACTAATAAAACTCTCATCTATTTTGTAATACTACTAGTTAATATTCTTGCAATTGTTTTATTTCTCATCTAATATTTTTCCAATCTATAGGAGGGTGTCTCCATGTAGATTGTTTGACCAAATGTTTCTGTAACAAAATTGTAACTTTGTAATAGTTTAAAAACCTAAGCTTGAAATATATATACATTACTATTGTGGTCCAATAATCATATATACACACAACAATGTGAGCATTGATGATGTAGTACCCTTTACCAATGCTTCTACCCTCTTCTTTTAACTGATTACTCCATTGATCAAATGCTATTCCATGAGTCTTCTTCCAATAAAACAAACAACAATTATAAAAATGTCGCGGTAAAGCACACTGCTTTATGTCCGATTTTCTGTCTGCCCGAGTTTAGGACACATACCACCAAGTTCTCGTCTGAAGACACCCTAATTTTCAGGAAACCCTAATTAGGACAGAGGATGCCCCGTTTCCAACCCGAGCAGTGCAGATCTGCCGCAACTGCGAGGAAAAGAAAACACACCTGGTAGAGTTAAGAGAATGCTTAAAATCATGTCGGAATTGAGTAGTGACAGGAAATATACCATATCGAATCGCATTGCAATTGCACAGAGGCATGAAGATGTCACGTCGCATAGGGTCGTCCCATTGCAAGAAGCTGCGCAGCTCCCTTTGAATCAGCTGTAAAGCGAGGGACGGCCCACGGGAGAATCAGATATTGTTCTATTCCAATGGTGGGCGAGACTTAGTAGACGAGACGAGGATATGACAGAAGTGCTTATTACAACAACTGAGTAGTGAGCCTGAACTACCGACGCGTTTCGCGTGCCCATCCCTGCCTTTGCTGCCCTCTCGATGAAAGACCAGACCCGTGCTTGAGAATATTGATTCTCATTTTCCACTCCAACCCTGTATTCTTCGTGCACAGAAACCTCTCTTAATTCGCCGACAGGGTCCTGAAATTTAGCCTCAAGCTCAATAGGAACATCATACGAACGCCGCAATCAGCTCTAAACTTATACTAATACCATTTGAGATCTTTTATGATAAGCGGAGAGTGACTGATTGATTTGAAAGCAAACGAGTAATGCTGACAATTGGCATCTACAAAAATGCTAGCAGTGAAGACTGCTTAGTTGTAGTCATGGGTAGGAGGAATATGGAAGCTTTTTAACACAATCTGGGAATAGCCTTTGCCACATCATCTGGGTCCTTGTTGTTGATATTTCGGTTCGGTTAAGGTGCGGATTCTCTTCGTGATTAGAATATATTTCCGAAGCTATCAGTCCAAAAACATATACGCTGCACTTTATTCACCTGTAATGGCCCAAGACAAGCATGACCTCGCAGGTCGGTTGCTGTGGGTGAGCAGAGGCGCTGGGTGACAAGGCGCTGGGTGCTTCTGATAAATTCCGATGCCTCCAGAACTTTGCGTCAGTTGCTGCAATTTGGACCATAGGTGCAGGTTTCCGTGGAGGATGATCTTAGACGCAGTCATTAGCACTACTTTAGTAATCTGATCGCACAGATCATCGAGGTCGCAACCTCTTGTGCTCTACAGATTCATGCAGTACACAGTTTGCATACGACTCGGATCCTGATCTTGTTGAACCCCAGTTGCGGCCGTAGGGAAACTGGCCTGAAAATCATGCAGACTATTGATTGTTAAAATGCAGAAGAATCTGTACACGAGGAGCCGCCAGAGGAAGAACTGTTGAAATAGGAGGGATGGGCAGCTGACTTATTTGACCTGTAGTTCAGGGGTTTCCGAACTTGGTTTACAGATTGACTGTGTTGTAATATTGAAAGAAGCAAGTATTAGTTCATCCTCCGCAGATTCTATTTGTTAAGTCTACCCTTGATAATTTTTGCAATTTACTCATCAGCAATGGCAACATAACTGCCTTCAGGACTCTGTAAAAGTCAGTTTTAAAGAACTGCAATGGCTTATGGCCCACGGTCAGGCGAAAACGTGCTAAGCAGGAATTCCCAGTCAGTGGAGACTTCTGTGATACTGACGAATGGGCATCAAGTTAGGACATCAACTTATCCATTCAGGAATATTTGAGAGATCCACCTTGCAAGTTTCCTGCCAAAGATACTTCATCTTTAATACAGAAATGCAGGTTCTAGTAGTGAATTCGAATATTGGTGCATACGACAACACCTTCGCTGATACACTTTGATCTTCTGGAGAGAAAGTTGCTTCCGTAATAACAATTTCCATATATTGTGCATTAAGACACGGACATGAATGTATGAATACTTCAATGCAAAGGACTTGCGGCAATCAACAACCTAAAACTGACAGAGATAGTCAGAGTTAATACACAACTGAAATGCAAATATAACAGAAAAGAACAATTTAAAGTGAAATGGCGAAATCGAAAAACAATCTGTCGCATGCTCGCGGAAAGAATCTAATGATACAAGCCAAAGCAAATATGGTAATCACCCACATTTAGAGCATTCAAATAATAAATAGAAAGAAGAAGATGGGAGGTAAAAGAAGAGAGCAAGCATCTATCGACGGGAGGCTTGAAGCAGCAGCATTGCAAGGAATAGACTTCATGATATACCTCCACTGCTAATAGCATTTGCACTCTTGGGTGTCTCAATACTCAACCGCCGCTTGGCAGCTTTTGTTCGAAAGCACCACACCTCGAAAGCCTCGCTCAGATCCGGAAACCTGTCCACAATAAAGGAAACCGTTCCAGTTCGTTATGTGTGCACAAAATGTGAGTACCATAAGGAGCCACAACAGGTGTCAGGACAAGTCACTGAAAACAACAACAAACATCTCTTGGTAACTCATTGTTAATACTGACGGAGGAATAACTGCAACTATACAAGGGCAAGGGCATGGGTTCTCTTGACACTGGCTTACCTGGCGTGATCCCATCGAAGCCAGTCGGCCAATATTTCAGCTTGATCAACGGAGGGCAACGACAACACAAGAGACACAAGAGCATTTTCAATGCTTTGACACAAATCCATATCCATTTCCATGGCTATTTTCTCCCCTGCGAAAAGAGTGTCCAGTATAGGCTTCGTCTCGCAGATGAAAGGTAGCCACACTTTAACCAGCTGGGTGCGCTTATTGGCAGTGAGGATTACATTCCCATAGCCCACTGCCTTAAGAACGGTTGCAGTGATCTCCACAACATGCAGTTTGGTGTTCCAAAAGGCATCTCGTAGCTTGTCGCTGTTCAAGGCCAGCGTCACGTCACTTGAAGCCTCGACCCAAAGCTCCACGAAGTCGGAGATAAGCCCTACTTGAGGAAGCATGCGCCAGGCCCACACAAGATCAGAGATCTTTTCCAGGATGGCCTTCTCAGCAACCTCCAAGTTCTCTGGGATTGAATTAGTGACGAGGGCACTAAGCCCATCTTTGAATTCTCCGTAAAGCTTCAGAAAGTGCTTCTTGAGCTCGGCTTTGAGATTGTCGTCCGCTATGAGCAATGGGGCATCATCATCCTCCTCTAGCATATATTCAACCTACAAAACGTGGGAAAGTTCAAATGGTAACCAGGAACTCAACATATAAATATCAATGCAGACCATCCAGATCTCATCATGCACCGACATGTACAGAAAGGAAAGCACGATACAGTCCCTTGGATACATTTGTATCGATTACACAAACAGCATGAACCTACCTGTTCCTGAGCAGCTACTTTCAGATCACTCGGAAGCTTTTCAAGGTTGTTGGATCCGCTCTCTGACAAGGTAGCCATGTGCACTGCAGACAGGAATACATTCCGAATCGACGCCGTGTCCACTGGCTGCAACCGAGCCAAAATGGGCTCAACTTTTGCTCCAAGCCCCGCCACCAGTTTGTGCGTCGAGCTCATGATCGCCGGCAATGCCTTCAGAATCTCCTCTTCCTCGCTCTCTTCCCACGGCACAGCCTCCAAGTAAAGAGCACATTTAGATGCAATAGCATCGCACCCGAGCTTGGTGGCCACTTTTAACATGCCGAGCGCATTCTTCACGCTGTGCCACATGTCCCCGACCGGCTCCTCGAGGTTTGAATACAGCATGCGCAGCAAATTGACATGGTGATCGATGTCGCTCTCAATGCAGATGACTTCAACGCAGTTGCGAGAATCCAGAAGGTGGTATGTCGGCCAATCGTCTGAGAGCCGGACTGCAAAGTACTTACTCTTTGCACAGAGTATCTCAGAGTGTGAGTAGAACCAGTCATCACGGCCATGAACCGTGCGTAACCTGACAATCACGTCGCTTGTAGCGCGCTCGCCGAGCTTGCAAGAGTAGCTAAAGACGTTGGATGGGGGCTCGACTTCAGTTATCTCCCCTTTCGCCATCGGCAATGGGTTAGAGGTGTGCTGCAAGGTGCAACGTAGCGAATCGGCGAGGATTTCTGGCAAGGATGCTTGATTGATGTTGCTCTCATACGCACCGACGCTAACAGTTGCCATCCAAACAAAGGTTTCGAAGAATCTTCAGCGAGTTCTGCATGATCAGGTCGACAGCCAATTTTGTTCTCACATGGCGCAAACGTTACTACTGGACATCTTGCTCGTGGAAGAGTCTATATCAGACGCTGGCACAGAGGAGGGACATGAGTCAAGAACTTTAAGGCGACATAAGGAGCGTCTCAGTTGTCTCCACATGCTTGCAGCTGCTCATATTAACTGTTCATCACTGACAAAAATCAATCACCTAACCATGTCAGCATCGTTGAAATTGTAATTCATTGATAAGGGGGAAAAAAAACTTTCAGAAGCGAATTTCGACCTTGAAAGAAACTAACAAGGATCCTCGATCAGTATCTCTTCTAGCATTGTACAATAACAACGAATTAATCATTTCGGAATTCCGTGAGATCCCAGTTGAGCGCACCTCCGATCACACCATGTAGCGTTCTGAGCGCCGTCCCTACATCATTAGCAAATAAATCCTCTGTTAAATTTAGATTACAAAAATATCATTATTCTATTCAAAAGATATACAAGCTATCTTAAAAACAGGAAAGCCCACTCTTGTCCGAGTGATTCACTTATGGATCATACCCACCGACATTAGAAAATATGGGTATGTCTGAAATCTTGTAAGCCGATTCCAAAGTGATGAAGTGAGACAAGCAAGAGAGCTTCAGAGTTGAATTTAAGGCGTACAGGTTGACGTGAATGAAAGAAGGACCCAGCTTGGGCCGTCCTCGCGACTCGCTTGCCGGCATTCTCAGGTCTTTCCCCTGACACTAGTTGGAGGGTGACCTTGCCTGACGAGCATTTTCACATGAAACTGCCCTCTGCCTACCGTCAAAACTGTTCAATGATGCTGAACTCCCCCCCTGACATCGTCAAAACTTTCGATAACATTATAGGAAAGCGAAACCAGAGACACTACGCCTCAACAAACCAGGTCAAGTCAAGCCATCGGCACTCACAAAACTTCAAATTTATTTTTAAATTGATGATATTTGTGAGGCACTTCAGCTTTGAAGAGCAAAATTGCCCCACACAGCAAGAAACATGATGATTCCATCTACACGATTGCTCAATCAAAAAACTGGCCACGGTATAGATGCTTACAAGATGCTGACTACATCCCCCCCCCCCCAGAGAAAAAGCCGAACGAAATCCAGAACAATGGCCAAGTTCATGATTGGATCTGCTCTTATTCAAAAGAAACTTCATATGTTGACTATACTCATTCTCAGATTCATTCCACACATTCAACCATATGATCCGCAATCCAAACTTACTAAAAGCAAATAAGCACCCCCAAAAATCACACGAAATAGAAGATCGACTCCACAGCTCACAAACCATTGCTGTAAATCTCAAACACGAAAGTGTTATTTGAGAGCACACACACACATACACATACCCACACACACACACATCCACACCAGACAACCAAAAATAAGACCAAAATCACAACCAGGAGGATCGCTTGACTCGGCCCAATATTGCTTAAATCATCCACCTTACCTTGAATGTAGAATCAAGCAATCACAGGGACACTCCCTTCACAAACTCAGAATAAAACCAACACTTCGTGTATCCTCCTCTATCTGTCTCATCCAACGCCAGCCCATAGAGATCCTCCCCAATGAACACTCAACCCCACCCTCTGATGTTCGCTAACACAGACCCCGGCTTGAAGCTGACCTTTTCCAACACACTCCCCTGTCAAAGCAACGGCTACCCAAAATCACGCAACCGGCATCGGCATCATCCATCTCTACTTAGAGAAGAATCTGCGTCTGCAAGGACGTAGGGCAGAGGAGCAGGAAAACACACTCCAGTGAGGTGTTTCAGGCTGGCCACTAATCTTTCCCCGACGACCTGCGAACTAGTGATAGTGGTGCAATGAAGATCATGCTAACAAACGCAAGTGGCGACCTCCCTGTGCTGAGGTTTGGACTGCTGTGTCTTGGAAACCAGATGGAAAAAAGGAGGATTCTGGCCAGACATGTCAGAAAGGGAAGATACTTTGAGGCAAATGGATAGGCAGCCAGCCACAAAGCAAATTGACCTCGTAAAGCTCAAAAGCTTCATTACGCTATAGGGGCTTGACTCAACTTCAGCATGAGTGACAGGGCTGAATGGTGGGATCTTTCCCTAAAAATCGATCCCAGCGAAGCGAGGAATCGACGGCGCAGGAAAGCCTCAAGGCACTCTCATTCAGTAAGCTTGATTTCCCCTTTTCCTCCCCTCTTGCACCATTCTTTCTTTCAGATACTTCTTCCTCATCTTCTGCTGCTATTGTTCCGCACACACCACTGTTGATTGGCAGAAATCCTCACCTCGGCAACACGTCACCAAAAACGAATTGACTGGAGTAGTAAAAATAAATAAATAAATAAATAACTTCAGCTCCTCTTGCACGACCCTCTCGCCAGTTCAAAGCAACCCGTGGTAAAGCAACTTGCCAGCAACGGACCCTAGTTTGTCTCTCACACCATGACCTCATCAAGCACTAAACTTGCGGTGCATGCCAGGTTTAGCATAGTTTTTTGTTTTTGTTTTTGTATTTGTCTTCCTGTGGGGTTTGCTATGTTGCTCACAACTGCGTAACCAACACCCACACTTTTGTATGAAAAACCCAAAGTACACCCACATATTTCCACATGAGCAGAAGAAGAAGCAGGAGTATTGGAAAGGAGTTGTGCCTCCATTACGTCTTCTACCACCACCATCGGCACCGAATCCATCACAGCGATGCTTTGGGGGAGGATAAACTCATCGACATCGTCGCCTGAAATCCCGGTCTGGAAATGGTCAGTCGGGCAGTTTCTTTGCAGCTCCGCCGATGCTTGCCACACTTGCTTGGTCGATAACTACGACACTCTGGATCCATCCAGCACCGACACGCGGTGGGATCCTGGTGCCGCAGCCCCGCGGTGCTGGCAGAGATCGTAGTGTCGGTGACAATCCCCCCACCCCACTTGCATATTAGGGCTTGCTTCATAATCTTTTGTGTAGTTTTTTAAGGGAATGTTAAATAGATCCATGTTTTTACGAAATCGACTCACCTTTGATAATGATAAAGAATATGATTATCATGACAAATGTGGTTGGTTTTTATATGATTATCATGACGAATGTGGTTGGTTTTTATTGGTTGCAAATCTAATAGTGGATAAATGAATCTAAAATTATTATTGTTATTTGATGGTTAGGATGGGTGGGTTGATTTAGTAAAACTTGGATCCATTTAATACTCTGCCTTTTTAAATCAAAGTAAAGGTCCATGAATACAAGTTATGGTTGGTGATAAGGTCATATGGCGTTAAGCTTGAATGCATATGTTGGTCACTGCTCATGAAGGTGGGTAGTAATTTAAAAATAAATAAATAAATAAAATATTTTATGTAATAAAATATCAATTAAAAAAAGAGTTTCAATAAAATTGTGTTACTTGCAATATGTGTATTAAAATAATATTTTTTCATAAATTTATTTGTTTTACGTAAAACATTGTACTCTTAGAGAAGTGGCTGTTGTTGCATCTCTTGAGTGCATGGATTTCTTTTCATAAACTATTTTACTTGTATCAACGATTTTGGTTCAATGAACTTAATTTACATTGAGTTTGAATAATACAACTGATGAAAGAAGTAAATTAAGGAAGAGTAATTAGAGTATGTAATTTCTATTGTTGATGGTTATATTTATAGATGGGTTGCATAATGGTGCATTTATAAATTTGGTTACGTCATTATTACAATATTTGTTATTAATAGTCTATTTAATAATAGATTTTAATCATTTTTATATGTTTTTTTAAAATTGTGTCTTGATTGTTATGTTTTTTTACAAACTAAGTTTATATAACTCAAGTTGATGCAATAGACAAGGTTACCTTGGTTAGCAATCTCTTTTGGTGATTAATGGCCACAATAAATGCAACATTATTACAATCATCTAATTTAAATAATGTTCTTGAATCATTCATAGTCTCTAAAAACCATTTAAAATATAATGATTCTTTCACAAATTTAGTGTCATTTTTTATCAAACCAATATTTATCTATCTATCTATCTATCTATCTATCTATCTATCTATCTATGTATATATATATATATATATATATATAAACATATCAAATTTATTTTTATTTTTAAATATATAGTTTTTTAGTAACATAACAAAGTATCTATCTTATAGAAGCATCATTCTTCTTAAATAAATTAAAAGAATGTATAATCAATAAATAAATAATTTACATACAAAAATATATGAATTGTAATAATTTGATATTATCTTACATGAAGTTAACTATGCAATATAATATAACCATGTTTATGCATACATACAAACAAAAAATATTTATAACAATTACAAAGTTTTAGCAAATCTTGATTAATATTCAAGCCAATTTAAGATAAATATTAATAATTCTTGCAATTGTATAATGTAAGAAAAGATGATTATTTTGGAAAAAAATATATTATGTAATATTTTCTATTATTATTACAAAAGAACTTAAGGCAAGTATGCTTGATACACTTAATAGAACAAGGTTATAATTTTGTAGTTTTGTACAAGTCAAATTATACTTATATCTATGTTTTTTTCAATATCTCAATGGAATTAATCAAGTGGACGTTTGACAACTTTATTATTTAATACCTAATTTTTAATTGCACTGTTAATGGAGTAGAATTTGTAGCTTTTATAAATATTCAATATATTTGTGGAAACATTCATGTAGAAATAGTGATTAGTAAACTGTGGAAAAGACAAAAATTCAATTCTTTCAACAATAGTCGCATTTTACTATTATATGTAGTGTTATGTTTTTAATATGAAATGAAGGATATTGTAAATTTTTTATTACTTAAACAATAAAAAAAATACACAATAAAAAAATATATATTGAATTATCTACTTATAATAATTGACTAGTTTTAATATATAAATAATAAATAATAAAATTAGAAAATATATTATAGTATTGTGTTAGCTTCTATAAATTGTAAGAGTTAGTTCCAAACATAATAAGTTGATACTGCTCAATTTAAGAACACTAAGACTATAAAATTGTGAAAAAAATCATTTAAAAAAAATATCTTCCATTGTAGAAAGTTAGGTTATACTGCATAATATTTTTTTATTATAAAATTGATTGGAGTTAAGATGTAAGAAATCAGATTAGATACTAAAATAAAATAATGCAAATAATAAATGGATGTTTGTAAAAAGAACCATGCAACTAGATATCATCAATTATCAATCATCAAACATAAGTTAAATCATATCCCACATTTCACTTCCAATTTATTACATATGTCAATATTTGATATAAAGTTGAAGTATCTTCTAATTTATGCATAAAAAAATGAAAGAATTAATCTATCCGTTTTTTAAAATTTATTATGATCATATATGACCTTAAATATACTTTTCATTGTAACTAAATTTATGTGCATGTAGAGAAGGACCAAAGCCCAAGATTATTTATATTTTTACATTGATAACCAACCTAGTTTCTATTTATTAAGTACACAATACAAATATATTCTTCAAAAATATTTTTTAATTTATAGTAAATAAATACTATTATTTATTTATTTATTATTTGATATTATTTCAGAAAATTAATTTCTTCCCACAATCCTTTCTAGCTTAATGTCCCCTCTTATGCATTATTCAAACATGACAATGAAATGTTCTGTACCAAAAACAAAGTTGACTAACAAATCCATCCACTAATTAATCTAAACAAAGAACTAAAAGAAAAAAAAATCATCCATGGATGATAACAAGTGTCAACACTCAGAACCCAATTTAGCAAATAAATAAATAAATAAATAAACCAACAGGTCACAATCCATCCTAAATTCACCCATCTATACAGTCAATCATCCCTCCTATGGATCCACACAAATGATTCTATTGAGTACATTTATTTTTTTATTTTTAAGAAATGACCAATTAGAGAGTCGATTAACTTAAAGAGATTCTTATATTCAATTGCTTGGAACCATATGCTTAGAAGAGTGTAAATTTGATTAATGTCCATTTCTTTGCATTTATATCCCATTGGATTGCACTTCTAACTTATTGATGTTGGCAACATTATATATATATTGGTTAGCATTGCAAGAAGCTTTTGAAGTATTTGGAGAGATGATGTGGCAAAATTTGGGACTTTCACACCTACAGATGAAGAAGAATTTAAGTTTTGTAAGACAAACCTTTGTTGGGCACAGTGTAAAGAAAATAATAGTTTAGATTAAAGTGAAAAAGAGATACATATCCCTATATTGTGGCATCAAGCATTTATAATATGTTGATGATTGGAAATATATATATATATATATATATATGTATACACCCATAAGTATATTACCTTAAAAATTACCATAAAATAATTATCATTTTATGAATTTAAGTATTATAAATTAGACAAAAATCCAAACACAAGTTTATTAAGATATAAATTTGGATTTATTTTGGATTATTAATTCAGATAATAAATTCTCAAAAAAGATCAAAGCCTAAGATTATTTAAATATTCATTTATTTTTTCGGAAGTAAAAGTTTTATATTATTTTATAGATTATAATAAATTCAAAAAATTACAAATTTTTATATCAAATTTATTAATATGCATTAATTTATAATGTTAAAAAATACAATATATATACATATATGTATGTATGTATGTATGTATGTATGTATTCACATTTTTTCTTAAGGTATAATTATTTAAGAATATTAAATTTAGAAGTTGATTTTTTAATAATTTTATTAAAGATAATGTTTTTATTTCTTATTGTATTGACATTAGTTCATAACAACAATTATATAGTAATACTTTATGATCCCAAAACTACTTTGAATACATACATATTATATAGCTATTTTTTAACTTTTAAGTTTTTATTTAAAATACATATTATGTTAGTGATATATAAGTGGATTACTATGATAATTTTATTCAAGTTAATTAGTTGAAATGTGGAAGCTCTACTTATTTGGCTTTATACTTTAAAAAATAAGTAGAAATCCTTAGAAAAAATAATATAGTAGAGTAATTTTTTTTCCTATATGACATAAATAGTATTGATCCTAAATATTTCCATTATATCCATCTCAAGAGGTGGTTCTTAGAGAATTTCAAGAAGTTGACAAAAATTATTAAAAACATTATTAAAAAATAAAACATCATATATATATATATATATATATATATATATATAATTGTTCAAATTAAGAAATAAATTCACATATTTAAATCTATAATAAAATAATGATTTTTTTTAATTTTATGATTATTTCTCACTATATACTATGTACAAAGGCCAATGCCTCTAAAAGAGGGGTTCTATTTATCATGTAAAGAACTTGGTAAGGTTCTTAATTATAACATTTGAAAGTGGGTTTTTATGTGTAAGACCATACTAAGAGAGAGGTTGAGAGGCCACAACTTTTAAAGCTTGTAATTAGTTGAAATTGAGAACCTTGGTTGATTTTATACTTACAAAAATTAGCCAAGTAGCTATAAAAAAGAAAAATAAGGTTTTCTACTTGAATAGTGTTATCTAATGGAATTTAAGTTATATTTGGTATATAGAGGTAGTTTTCATAAAAATTTAAAAATTCATATTAAAGACTGTTAAAAATAATAATAATATATATATATATATATATATATATGTACATTCATTTTATGTCTATTTTATGATTTCTTCTTTCTTTATACTATTTCCAAAAGCTAAGGCTTTTAAATGAGATTTTTTTTATTAAACAAAGGACCTGTATAAAACTTTTGAATAATGATTTTAAAAGTGGGATTCTTGATTCAAAAACTCCCTAAATTTAAGTCGGAAATTAATTTAGGAACCTTTCTATTGGTTAAATCAATATAACATATATGATTTACAAACACTTCTACTAACCACGTTCATTCACTAAAATTGAGAAAAGAATGCCTCCACTTCTTTTAATTTTGTCATATATTTCTGAACTCATTACCTATCCATATTCTGTTTTTGATCGATTTGGAAGAAATGGCAGAAAGCATGTGAGTAGCAAGAATGTACACATCTAAGATATTTATTTAGAGTGTACTGGGATGATTGTTACCAAGAAAATCTCAGGTTCCATTAAAAGCTTCTTACGTTGTCCATTTTGTGTGCGTCATTTTCCAGAAACCTAAGTTTCAAAGAGTACTCGAGGCTCTGATAATGTCAATTTTTTTTGTCAGATGCTGACTCTCAAAATTTCTTGTATAACAAAAGGCAACAAACTGATTGATTAAATGTTGGCGAACTTAAAATCCGCCCACACACTCCACAGAAATCTGAAAAACATTCAGAAACAACCAAAACTTCCCAGGACAATCAGAACAGTTGATATCATAAGCATTCAATGCTTATTAAAGTGTCCACAAGATTTCCTGTAGAGTGGGGCTTCAGATGCTTGAAGAAAGAATTGACTGTGTTCCACAACACTACTCTCTCAACGACAGCATGTTCAAATGCTCAATTACATATGTGATAATCATTTTCGAAGTTGACTCCCTCACGATTTCAACACTACAATACACCATCTGTCAATCTAGGTAGAAAAGAGTAACTATTTTGCGCATGTTTTTAGCTTCACTACAAGTCTCCATGAGTAAATTACTATCATGAAAGGCAAAGCATATAACTTGTTGCACATGTGATATAATGTCCATGTTGCATAGTCTGCATACAAATCGAAGCACAGAGTCAAAGATGCATCTTCCATCGAGTTATTTCATAGTAATTGAAAAGTCCAGAGACTGAAAAAATAGAAAATAAACACTACCTGCTAGCTTCAATCAACGGCAAGTGATCATTGTGAGGCATCTCCACAACATTTTTAACCTGGCATGCGTCAACATCAAAAAACGAGAATAGAAGTCATTCAGCTGTTCAAAAATTCTTCACACTAGAAACTAAGCGTTTCTATGCAAAAGCCCATCACTTAAGAAATTGCTGATTATAATAAGGTAACAAGACCACTGTGAAGTGCCAGATCCAAGACATGTGGTTGCACCATAAATGTAAGATCCGCGAGAGGCTAACTACAAATTTTGACACGAAAACAGACCATACCTTCGATAACAGATCTTGGCTCTCAGCTGGTTGTCTCTTTAAGCTCTGAGGTAGAATTACAGTAAGGAGGTCTGGTCTTTCAGCTCTCAATGCTCCCCTTATAACAGCTGCGTTTGTTCCCGCTGCTCCTGATGTATAAATGTGATTTTTCTAAAACGAAGAGAAGAGTTAAATATGGTCTAGCACTGAAGTTGAAGAAGGTTGTGAAACTGTGATTACGATATCATGACAGTAGAACTCTGATTCGTATGATGATCCATAACACTGATGGCACATGAGAGTCTCGGAAAGTGAAAAGAGAGGAATACGAAATATCGCCTAATATTCAGCGTGCGCAATGCTCGAACCATTTAACTTCAGCTGAAATGATTGCAGGCCTCTTCAACACAACGCTCAAAGTGAAAGAGGATTACACTGTACAATGATTACTACAAAAAACTTACAACTTTTTAAATGCGGAGGAAGAAATCAACCTTGATTGTCAATGCTAAGATTCAAACAAATAAAAACAGACAGCATTCGTACAGCTGGAAACATGACATACATACTCACCGTGATAACCATCGCATAACTAAGAATCTCAATGAGTTGCTGGTGCATGAACCCCATATTCCGAGTACCAAAAAACCCTATAGCCCTTGGTCCATTCTGCTGAATGGCTAGAAGCTCCTGAAAAAACACAGCAGCTGTAGCTTGTTAACAAAGAAACAAGCCAAATACGTAGTGCAGCGCACAAACACCCTAAAAGTCTTGATCTTCATAAAACCTTGTGGTTTAAGTTCTCGTATTGGTGTCATAAACTTCTAACCACAACTCGCAAAGGAAATTAGCGCAACAACAGCAATTTACAATCTGATCCCTGCAGCCTTGCAACGTGGATCAGACTGCAATGTATTGCACAACCCAGAGAAGGATTTTCGCTACACACATACAAAATAGATATACTACATATTTTGTGAGTGAACAGTCTTTGAGGCTCACTTGCTTCGCGGATCTCACACCTAAAATTCTAGAGTTTGGGGTTATTATCTACAAGTTTGGAACACTAGGACAAGAAAAAGATCTCCAGATTTAACATCGAACGAGACGAAAGTACAGACCTGCAAGTAATCTAAATCTGGAGTGGCCTTGTACTCTGTTTGTACAGTTTGTGTGCCCTGAGTGACAGCCTCGGCTTGCGTGGGAAGATCGTCACCAAAGGCATAAGCTCTCCAAGATTCATTCTGTCGCCTACTGTCATCGAAATTCTGAACCACGCCTTCACCTCCTTGCGCACGGCATTCCACATGCCCCTACCGAATTCCACCACAAATAAACCAATCATCAGCACAAAGCTTCTCAGGAACGAATCAACACTGGTCGTTTCATCTCTCCGTATCTGTCACACGGAATACAATAGCAAGCAATCACGACTTCTATCCTTCCTGGATTCAATACTAGCGCACAGACACACCCTATGGAAGTTTACTAAACCCATCCTTCACTACGCATCCCATCAAAGCACACGCATAACACCAGATTCCATTCAAATCTCACACATACACAAGCCCCCCTTCCTTGCGCGCAATCAACCAAGCCAAACCAATGCTAAAAAACAGAGAATTCCAATTGCAGCCCGAGAAGAAACCATTACCCGTGGCCGCGACCACGACGTTCTCCCCGACATTTCCACCCATCGCCTCCTCACGCTTCCACACGGCCTGGGCCCGCCGGCTAGGAAGCGGGACACTGAAGTGGAGGCCGAGGAGCACGAGGGGATACAATGCGACGGCGCATTCGCAGCGGCAACAAAAGGGGGCCTGCACAGCCCCAGCGAGGGCATGATAGCTTCAATTCCTGGAGAAAACTAGGCAAAATTTCACGCTACTCTCTCGCTCGTGGCAACTATCTGCGTGACTCCCCCGAACCCGAACGAGCTCCAACTAAACCTGGAGAATGCGTGCAACAACGAAAGGATGCCGGAAAAAAAAAAAACCACAGTTCAGATAGAAAAACGGACCAGTTGCCAACACGAGGAGGATCACAAGCCCCTTCCCTTCCCATACCCTCCCCCCCCCCCCCTCACTTAATCACACTCACTGATCAAACTCACATAATCATCTCACTAATCACTTTCACTAATTATATTCACTAATCACTTTCACTAATCTTCTCACTAATTACACTCACTAATGGTCTCACTATTGTTTTTCTCACTAATCGTGTCACGGTGAAACCTCTTACCCGTAGTTAGGCTGGCCTCCATTTGTGGGGGCCTCAGTGCCTAATCCCGACTAGCTTGGGTAATTCAGCCTGTTTTTTTCTTCTCGTAATCTTGTGTTTGCTTACCACGAGGCATTCGGGGAACACGAATCAACGTTCCTCGGTGTGAATTGGGTAATGTGGTTCTTTTGCAAGAAATCGTCGTTTTAACTGTTGATTGAATCATAGTGTGTCGGATTTCAATTCAATCGCATGACCTAAATTCGAACAAGAATAAATCGAAATATAATTTGTTTTCCACACCAAACGAACTAACGTACATGAGATGGAAACCTAAAAAATAAATAAATAAATAAATAAAAATCTATAAAATACAAAGCGTTGTGTTAGATATCAATTAACTACTGTTAATAATGACTTATTTTTGGGTTGAAAGTAGTGTCATAAACATCATGCAGCATCAATGAAATTTGTCTGATGACATGCACAACGAGGAGGCTCCAAGTTCATGGTTAACACCAAAAAATACCATGTAAATAATGGCGATATTTTTGCTTGTCATTTGTTTTAGATAATTCACTGATTAAAGTTTGAAGAAATTCATAAGATAATCATCTGACCTAAAAATGGTGCACAGTATAATGAAAGCAAGTATAAATGTCCATTCATTAAGTGCAACCATTCTACATGTGTTTTAATCCACAATACTTTTGGTGGCTATTGTCTGCATGGAAACGAAGTTAGCTCGTCAGATCTCATCTGGCAAGGCTAGTGAGGGGAGACGTTTTCCTGGGGTTGATGGATCAGTCGGACTCTGCCCTCCCACTTATCTCCTCAGAATCCTGTTCATCCTCCTTTTTCTCGGGTTGTTCGTGCTGATGCTCCTGCTCATCCTGTGCAAAAGTCTCGTCCAGGTTGGTTGGTCGATACGGTGTCAAATTCCACAAGGCAGCAGTAGCGGCATCTGCAGCCCGAGGTGTACTGTATTCTAACAGCGCATTTAGCTGCTGAACGGCCCCTGCCTCGACCAACGCTGGTCGAAGAGATTCGTGGAAGGAGATGTTTCTGATTGCACGGGCTGCAGCTTCTTGTGTCCATGGAGTTCCTGGGCCCGCCATTGCGATTAACACCTCTGCTGCTCCTGCCTGTTATGAGATCATTCGCAACAATTGCTTACTGTAAGGCACCCACTGGATTGAAAGCTTAGATTTTGGGTGCAGGTGGTACATTTAGTGACCCAAACTAGAAACTTAAAAATGACACAAGCCAATTCTGAATCTACCGCAATCATAAGACTGGCATTTTCGAAGTTGTCGCAAGAAAGACTCCCCAAAGCATGAGCAGCATACTCCCCAGCCTCCGGAGTTGGGCAATCACTCACAACCTGCATAAGAATCCCGTGGGAATTTTCTAAGATCATACTGTACCACATGAAATAACATTCAGATAAGAAGGAAGCGAACAACAATAATTACCAAGGCAAGTGGGCGGCTATCCACATCATCACAAGCAGTAGAATTAAATGTTGAAAGAGAGTGTGCTTACATTTTAATGCATGGTATACCTTGTTTTGAGAAGTGACTTTGTCAAAGAATACAAGAATGGTGCTGGCTGTCCTTGTCATCACACCAAGTGATGAGAACAAAGTCACAAAATATAACCCCAGAGCTAAAAAATGAAGAATGTGCATCACCTGAATAAGCTTGGGAATTGCTCCTCCTTTTGCAACTTCATCACGATTCTGTTCATTAACAGCCAAGTTGCACAGTGCTGCAGAGGCTATCTCCTGAGTAGTGAAAGACGAAAACATTCCCTTCCCATCAAGCATGCGAATCAGCCATGGAATGGCACCAGCTGCAGCTATGGTTAACTTGTTAGCTTCATTTCTTGCTGATAAGTTAACTAATGCTCCTGCAGCTGCTTCGCATGCATCCAGTGTGCCCTGTAGTTTCCATCAATTAGTATTATGCTATATTTTCCAGAACCTTTCAGAGCTCCAGAAAGAGTTAGCATACTACAGAGAGATGAACTTCTACTAACGCAATGCTGAAAAGTCCCATTGTACGACATGCCAAATTTGATTAAGAATCACTCCTTTGATTACAATTTTGGAGGGTTTGTTGCAATAGTAGCCTCACGTAAGTAAAAAAAATCTGCTGGCAATCGACGGCAAAGATCTCATTATTTGCATATATTAATAAACTTTCAATTAACATTCTAGCAAGCCTTAGAAACTCAGTTGGATTGCATAACTAACATAAACGCTAATTGGACTCGCTAATTCAAGATGATATTCATCGCATGTGCCGAGTATGAATTTAGATTGTATACCTGATGTAGTAATGAAACAAGAAACGGAATTCCACTAGTAGCAGCTTGAGTAATCATGGTATTTGTGCTTCGACACAGAAAACGCAAACATTTTGCGGCAAGCTCCCTTGCGAGTAAAGTCCCATTTTGCAGCAGAAAAATTAAAGCAGGTATGACCCCTACTTCAGCAATAATACAGCGACTCTCCTCTCCTCCATCTTTCGCTATGGTGTATATCTCCTCAAGTGCAGCTTCCTAAGAGTTATGACAATATTTGAAGAAGTTACAAGAGAACAAATCCATCATGAGGTCATTTGTGAATGCAGAACCATGCCACGACATCAAAGCCTTCAGTTGATGAATGCAACGGGGATAAACTAAATAGCAGTTAGTTCGATTTTATAGCATCGTCTGCACCTGCTCTCGACTATTTCCACGGTACAGGCTACGAACAGCCACAACAACAGGTGCCTTCGCATCTGGAAGACACTGACCCCACTCCAATAGTCTTTGGGTTGGAGCGACGATCCTTTGTACGATTGCAGGAACTGGCATAGATTCAGGTAATTTGATTGCATGATCATCGGCCCATCGACCAATTGCATGGCGCAGAGCATGATTAGGAACCAGATCTGTGCTTGTAATTGTCAGCCCTGCAACAAGTTACTCAGTTGAGGCAGATATTCAAAATCTTCAAAACTCACAGCAATAATTCTTGTAAACTGTAGTTGTTCATACAAATATGTGTTTTTGACCGACTATGGAGTACACCTTAGTCTTTGAATCTTAGAAAATGTAAAACGGTATTCCAGTTTAAGCACAATGGAATGATTGGATTTGTAATAACGAACTTACCAGTCACTGGACAAGTATAATGGCCATTATTTATCCATGTAGTAATCGGTGCACGATCATACGTTTGTCCAGTGGATAACGTTACAGGGTCTACCATAAGCTCCCTTGTTATTGGACACAAATATTCCCATGGAGCATCTTCTCCTGCTAAAAGATAGGAGCGGCGACTCTGCCGTCGGCACTTTTGAACAGGCGATTGAATACCTGTTATGACTAAACACCGTCAGTAAGAAACTTCGTACGATTTCAGACAGAATCATGTTGAGATTAAGTATGTTTCAACATGCTGACTGCAACAAAATAATTCTAAACTGCAGTGTCTGCTTAAATCTGAATTCTATTAGTTTCTTGATCACTTAGGGGACGTAAAGAGCCTCTTAGCAATAATCGTGCACCACAAAATCAGTGCTTCTTCTATGACACGGCAATATTATCGCCTGTATGTTTTGAATTCGACAATTTCTAAGACGATTTTTGCGCGAAAGCTGGCTGGTCATACATCTTGCCTTCTAAGTACGATTGTTTCCTCTGGCCTCCTTCTTGTCCTGGTATGAATGAAATTCGCCTGGGTACTCTGCTGTAAGGTAATGGCTCCAAATTGTCCGTTGAAACATCTTGTATCTTAGGCGGAGGAGGATATTCAAATTTTGTGGATCCTGTATCAAGGCGCATCTTCAGACCGATCTTTCCCTTAGAATCCTTCACGGCACTTTCTTTGGAGCTCCCTTCCACATTAAACCCTGAGATAATGAACACAAGAATAGATGCCAAAACTTCTCAAGAACATGAATGATGCCTGTATATGCAAAAGGTACAGAATTGTTACTGAGAGCAGTAAAATTGAAAAGAACAACTGAAACCTATCCTCTCAAATTCACACCAAAAAGGTCACTTCTTGTTCGCAGGAGGATTCTAGTAGAAAGACTCAGTTCATTTCGTGTTATATTTAAACAAGCAATACCTGGGAAGCATAATAAACATGATCTTCAGTCTTCTAATACCCTCCACTCACAAACTTTATATCCGTGGTATTTACAAACTGACAGTTGCATCTCTTAGGACTAGAAGTAACTCAGGGCCAGACACATGATTCATGTTTGGTTTGTCCAGGTCTGTTGCAGTCAAAGAAAAAAAAGCCTCAGAGAAACTAATACGTGCAGCATGAAATCCGAGGATGTAAAAACCAGTATAAAGGTGTTCATGAAGCTAATGCATAGCCTGACAACATACCGTAAGTTTCAAGAGAGTCCTGATCGTCAGGGCTGAATTCTGTTGGGGTATCAATCTCCCACAACACACGTGGGCTAGTGATTATTGAATCCCCAATAGACAAGGGCTGAGGACGAGTCCAGACTCCAACATGAACAGAAACTCTTGCCTTTCGTGGAGGTGTGCACTGCATTCCCTCTGCTAAAGCAAGCGATAAGCATTTAGCAAAATATTAAATATTCTGACATAGGATGCCCAAAAGTACGGAAATTAGCGCTCGCAAAGACTGCACAAATGCCTCAGCAGAAGGAATACTTGTCGACATCCATTGACTATTATCTTAAGAGTTGTCTGAAGTTTTTGGTAGGTGGAAAAACCTATTTTCTGCAATACACACCTAATTTACCTCTGGCTCTCAATTCTGGAGTAAACCGTCATAATGTTTACCAAAGAAGTGAAGCAAAGAAAGAGTAAGTGCATAAGAACGGATGATGTCAGACGTGAGCAAACCACATTAACGGAAATTTGTGCCATAGATTTCAAGCCTTACCAACCACATCTTGATCTTCAAAAGCGTTGATGTTTCCCATGGAAACTTTCTCACGTATGCTTTTGAGTTCGGCATCGTCAGGCATAATATATCTGTGATTGGCAGTTGCACCACTGAGAGCTCCTCTCACGAGCATTTCCGAGAACAATTGCAGTGGCTCGCCATTGACGTAGGAAACCTTCTCAGTGCAATTCGAAGTTTTAGAGAGATCGTCTACGGAAATATTTTAAAACCCTCAGAAAGTATGTCTACCAGAGCACACTTTTCCAGCTTCATCAGAAACTAAATTCTGTTCTAGTTGCAGAATGCTACTGTTAACAAAGTTCTGTAGTTGATCTATTATGACTCAAGCTGTGTCATGAGAGACTACCACAAAGGCGGAGCAATTTCTTACGGACGAACATTTCCAGTAAAGAGGAAACGTGAAGTCTCTGTCAAACCTCGCTAGAGGAGATATTGGAGTCTTTGGTGGGTTGACGTTTCTGCACAAGGAGATATATCTTGTCATAAGCATCTCGATCACTGTCATCAATTGCATACAATACATGCTGTAACTGGAATGCAGCATTAACAGCCTTTTTGAGAGGCTTCTGCTCGAGGTCTACAGAAATTCTTGTCAACTCGTTTATCAAGTCTTCGACTTTGTGTCCAACAATGCCGCCTAGCTGACAACATTCACTTCAGTTAGTCTAAACTGCAGTGTGAACCATTTTGAATGCAACCGAAACTCCCAGTGTTACACAAAATAATTTAGTTGCAAACAGAGTTTTGCAAGGAGGAAGAACTCGTTCGGTCAACACAAACAACAAACATATAATTGGACTTTTAAAGAATACATATTATTAAATTAAAAAAAATTAAAAAACAAAAAACAAAAAAAAACAAAACATAAAGTTCAATTATCATCAACTAAGACTCAGAAACATGGAGTTCATCAATGACTTCCTAGAACTGCCCTCTTAGGACCAAAAACTGAAAACACTAGAATGTGCGTTACATATGTAAGTGACAATTATCCCAAACCAATAATTTAACAGAAACGTGATGTTTATCTTGTGTGTAACTAACACCACTTGAAACCAAGAGAAACATGAAAACATTCACAATCCCCTATTACCAGCGCTGCCCTTTTCAGGATCTCTTCGTGTTGTAGGAGGAGATGTAGCCGGAGGGATGGCTCCCGGCATAAGTCAATGAGCTCCAAAACAGGCCGTAAGCTGGCTGCAATTCCCTCAAGGTTGGTTCCCACGGCCTTAAGAAGAATATCTGTAATAAGTATTCCTTAAAAATATCATCCTCACAATCCAATTTCTCATTGATGCATTCGCCATTGAATGCAAATAACAACATTACTGTAACCATGCATAGCTTCGAGTAAATCATGCATGAACTCGACTATTCAGTTTAGAGAAAATGGACCTCCAGATTCTCAACATTAGAAAATCTCTCTAATTACTGGAGAAACTGATATGCCTGAAATTTTTCTAACCCCCAACCAAAAGAGAATCATGTTTTACCTTGGTCCAATTTTCCAAGACTCGCAAAGAAAGAGCCTGTTTGTACGATGCGCTCAAGAAGGTCATCGAATGTGCGTTTGCAACAGAGGACGCTCCTCGTCAACAATGCCGCCCATGAAATCAAGTTAAGGATCTCCTCATGCGTCTCTAAGTCAGGAGAATGGTTTCCCCCCTCTCCACTTTCCATCTCGCTAACCCCATCTTTTTCCTCTCCAGCTTTCTTCATTCTGGGATCAAATAACTGATGCACCTTCTTACAAACTCGATACAAGCTGCTACCTCCACCTTACCAAACTTACACCAAACAACAAAGCTTCTAGAAATATTGTTCGAAATTTTTCCTAGTGTTACGCATTATTCAATTCCACAGCAATTACTGAGCACAAATTCCACTCAAAGCTACCTAAAGCTTCGCCTGAGAATCTAATCGACTGAAGAAAGGGATGTTTGGAAAAGAGTATATATATTAATAAATAAAAAGTGCGCAAATAGACTTACGTCAATGGCGGAATCTCTTGCTGTAGCAGCAACGCCACCATCCACAGAAGCCTGTGAGCTCTGGAGCTCATGAGCAGGGACACGAGCGGCGTAACAAACCTGGCCGAAGGCGAAAGGGTGGGCGTCCCTTCAACATCGCTCCATGCAGTTCTTCCAAGCCTGCACGACCGTTCCATGCGAAATCACCCCCCCACCATCGCTGCACCTAGTTCTTTCAAGCCTACACGACCGTTTCGTCCGAAATCAGACCCCTACCACCGCTTCATGCAGTTCTTCCGAGCCTGCACCACCGTTCCATCTAAAATGACCCCCTTGCGCAATTTCAATTGCATTTTACTGATCATGCTGTTGTTCTTTATTAGAAACCGTGTTTAATTTACTTGTATAATCATGAACTTCTGTGTCTTGAGTATGTGAATTATTGTAGAATTTGATCGGTGTTTGTAAATGCAGGGATAAAAAACTGTGTAATGCGGAGCTAAATTCGCAAATGAATACTCGTAATCAGGACCAAACATTAAATAAAATGTGTATGTATGTGTGTAATATTTTTTTTATTCTTTTATCAAAACATAGTTTTTAACACTTGAATATTTGCAAGTGATGTGAGAAGTTAATCGATGATGTACTCTTCTACATTTGTTAGTCTGGATATTCTTTTTCTTTTTCAACACTTGGAAATGGAGTTCTTAAAGCAAATACATAGCTAATTTTATTTTGCTGTCAACTAAATACTTCTAATCTGGCAACAAAATAAGACTGAGAATCACATTAAAGGAAGGAAATTAATTACTTTAGACTTTTGAGGAGAATTTACTCCAAAATTCATCGCACTTAAAGTAAATAATAAATCATTTTATTACTTCCAGAAAAAATAATATGTAAGAATTATTAAAATCATATCATTTTTAATTGTGTCCACTATTTTTTTTGTTGGTCCAAACATTACCAAAGTTAAATTATTATGTTTGGATCACCTTAACAAAGCACATATATCTGTAAATCTCAAACTTACAATGAAATGGGATATTTACTAAATAAATAAATAGGTAAATTACATTCAATGTAAAATAGTAAACATAAAATCACACATAAATAAATAAAAATTTCATTTTTTCTTTATTTTGTATACATATATATTTTAAGGAAATAATCCAAGATTTTAAATTAGAGTCCTACGACATAAGTAGTAAGGGTTTCCTTATGATATGGTTGTACAATATTTGTGTTTGTGAATTTGAGTAGAAGTTAGGGGAGATTCTTTTCTTTACAATATATTTTGTTCCTTTCAAGTCTATATGAAGACAAAAAAAAAAGAAAAACAATATACATTTACAAATATCAACAACTCTAAAAAACTATATATTAATCTGTAAATATCAAACAAGATATTGCATCCATTTTTTAGTTTCTTCTGAATTAAGCGCCGTAGTTGGATGCAGCTCTAGTAGTTGTTTTTGAAATCTCGTACAATTTGAATATTGAAATGAAAAAAACAATCTAAACCTTGATGTATTTATAGTGTTGATTAAAAACCTACAATATTGATAAGTCATTATGGACTAAAATTATGTAATTTGTTCAATTGAGATAGCTTTTTGGCTTGAGCAAAACCTACCATCTTCATTAATTACTCTGACCACACAAATAAGATTTCTAAAAGCCTTTATAACTAAAAAGTATATACTGTAATAAAGCCTAATCTGTTTAAAAATAGGCAACGATGACATCAACCCATGAAGAAAATATTGTAGAGAATAACAAAATACAAAGCAAACCGTTTTTGAAAATGAATCGAAATATCATCCAATTAATTTACAATTCAGAAATTGAGCTTAGATGGCAGGCTCTGGGGCTCGACGCCGTGAATGGACCAATGAAAATGCTCCAATTGGCATCTATCTACGTGGAGGTATATTCTCATGCAGACCCCTCCACCTCGGACTGAGCCCGTAATCCGCATTCACGAACTTACGTCACCGCCGCAGTTCTTCCATTTTTGAACAATTTCCACATCGGAGATTTCTATGGTTTTGTAGATAATGTCTTCTCGTAGATATCACGTTTTGTAGATATCAGATGTATGCCGCAGTACCAGAAACCTTGATGCTTGTCATGTGTTCAGGCTCTCCGCTGGCTTTTGCAGTCTCTCGCGACGGAGGCCTTGGACTCCAGCCATAGCCGATTCAGTTCCTTGTGGACGTGCACGAGGTGGCTGCCGTTCCTCATTAAGGGCATGATCGTCCTCTCGTCTTGTCTACAGGTAGTTGTTTGTGTGTTTCTCTTGAAGTCACTTGATTTTGTTGTGTTTCGGAGGTTTATTGTTTTATTTATTGAATCTTTAGCCTTTTTCTTTATTTATTTTTCGATCCAGTGTGTTGTGTGAGAGTGGAGAGATTAGTGAGGGAGTGGATGGGAAGTAAGAGACTGGAGTTGCTTTGGAGGTGTCACGGAGATTTTAGTTGCAAGTTTCGGTCGTATTGGAGGTTTAGGTTTGGATTAGGGTTGCTTCTAGGGGTTAAGGAATGCAAGGGTGGAGTTTGGTGGAATGACTGTAAGCTGTTGTTGATGGTGTGTGTTGGTGTTTTCGTCCACAATGAACTTGGGGGCTTGATTTGGGTACTGGGCAGTCGAATGCCGCACCTCTTTGTTTGGTTTTCGAGTACTTCATTTGACATGTTTTTTTCTATTTCGACAGGCACCTTAGTGGCTTTTACCATCACTTCCACGAAGCTTTTTATTCAACGATTTGGTTTTTCACCTGGAGCTTATTCGATTTTCCGAGCTGAAGTTGTGGACACCCACGATCGTGAAGGGATCTGTAGGGAGTAAGAAGAGCTGGTAAAAGATGGGGGGTGGTTTTCGAGTTTTGCATTTGGTCCGGCCATTCTTATCGGTTTTGCCGGAGGTTCAAACAGCAGAGAGGAAGGTTCCATTTAGGGAGAAGGTTATGTATACAGTAGTTTCTCTTTTTATCTTTCTTGTTTGTAGTCAGCTGCCTCTTTATGGAATCCATTCAGCTACGGGGTCGGATCCTTTTTACTGGATGAGAGTGATCCTTGCCTCTAACCGAGGAACAGTGATGGAGCTGGGTATTACACCTATAGTTACATCAGGACTTGTGATGCAACTTTTGGCTGGATCCAAGCTTATCGAGGTCGACAACAGCGTTAGGGAAGACAGAGCTCTTCTGTAAGTTCTCAAAGTCCTTTGGCGTTAAAATTTATTTACAAATTAATTTTTGAAAATGGGCTCTAGCAGGCATATGTACAAACCCTACTGTGAAAATTCTTGCAATCAGCGTCATACTTCAGTAGTCCTTGAAAGTAATTATTTGTCTGTTTTGTAATCAGTTCCTCTTCTAGCTTAGTTGACTGGTTCAACCAATTAATCCACCTGTGGTTAATTTGTAGGAATGGTGCTCAAAAGCTTCTCGGGGTGTTAATCACGATTGGTGAGGCAGTCGCGTATGTCCTGTCCGGCATGTACGGAGACGTCCGTGACCTCGGCGCTGGCAACGCAATTCTGATCATCATCCAGCTCTTCTTCGCTGGAATCATTGTTATCTGTCTTGATGAGTTGCTACAGAAGGGTTATGGACTGGGATCCGGAATTTCTCTTTTCATTGCCACCAATATCTGGTAGGCTCAGTTTTCTTTATGCCTGCAATTCTTAGAAATGAAGTTGAGAGCCAATATACTCGTCTGCTTGCGAATTGAAATCTGGAGTTTATCTCTATGTAGTCTTACAGTTGATAGATGAAGTTGAAATTATTATTGTAATTTCTGTTATTGAATACGTTGTGTGCACAACCTCCTGTAACTGTCTGAAGATGCATTGTTGATTTTCTTCTGGAGTATTTCTTACGTCGGTTAACAAGTTCCTTTCTCCGGTTTTGTCCTGCAGTGAGAACATCATTTGGAAAGGATTCAGTCCGACCACCATCAACAGTGGTCGTGGAGCAGAGTTTGAGGGAGCTGTTATTGCTCTCTTCCACCTTCTGTTCACAAGAGCGGACAAAACCCGGGCTTTAAAGGAGGCATTCTACAGACAGAATCTTCCAAACGTGACCAATCTTCTGGCAACTGTTGTTGTCTTCCTCATCGTCATCTACTTCCAAGGATTTAGGGTGGTACTCCCAGTTCGTTCCAAGAGCGCTCGTGGTCAACAAGGATCTTATCCTATCAAACTATTCTACACCTCCAACATGCCCATCATTCTTCAGAGTGCCCTCGTATCCAACTTGTACTTCATTTCACAGGTATTTTTTTTCTGTTACTTGTCTTCAATCTATACAGCTTGCAATTTCTTTAGCAATGCGAAGTATCGTTGTCAATGGTTTCAACTCATTAACTTCTTGGAATTAATTAAAATTCAAAAGACTTGTCGTCTTTTCAGCTGTTGTTCAAAAGATACAGCAACAACTTTGTTGTGAACCTTCTGGGCAAGTGGAAGGAGTCAGAGTACTCGCAGAGTGGTCAGCTCATCCCAGTTGGAGGCCTAGTTTACTACATTACTCCCCCGACGAGGTAATTCTGATCAATTGGATGCTCTTGTAACATCTTTCACTGGTTAATTGCACGAGTCTTTGTTTTACAACAAAATGACAACTTGCAAATATCGGCCCAGTTAGCACCTGTGCGACTGCGTGGTCTTCTACCGTTTTGTTCGTCATCTAAGATGTCACGCTGGAGCTTTTTTGAGCTGTGATGACTTTGTTTTCGACACATAATGCCAAAACTAATAATTTTTTTTTAATCCATGTGACTTCTGGTTATTCTTGCCAGCCTTGGTGATATTATTACCAATCCTTTCCACGCTATCTTCTACTTGACCTTCATGCTTACTGCTTGTGCGCTCTTCTCCAAGACCTGGATCGAAGTGTCAGGATCTTCTGCGCGAGATGTTGCCAAGCAGCTCAAGGTAATTGATTTGAAACGATTTAATTGCCGCGTGATTGTAGTTGGGTTAGACAGCAAATTAGGTCTATTATATTGAAGGCCTTGATATTCCACTGAACTCAGTCGCTTTTGGTTTAACAGGAACAACAAATGTTCATGCCTGGCCACCGTGAATCCAACCTTCAGAGGGAATTGAACCGGTACATTCCCACAGCAGCTGCTTTTGGAGGTATGTGTATTGGAGCCCTGACGGTTGTTGCTGACTTCATGGGTGCGATTGGATCGGGAACTGGAATCCTTCTTGCCGTCACGATCATTTACCAGTATTTCGAAACTTTCGACAAGGAGCGTGCTAGTGAGCTTGGATTCTTTGGTTTTTGAAGCTTCAGAAGTTCATTACACAGTTCAACTTCTGGGTACCTGAAGCTTTTTGTTGCAAGGTTACCGAAATGGCTTTCTGTATTGCTGGTTTCTATTCCATTAGAAGAACCTTGCATGATGAGCTGTTGGGGTACAATTGTCCCCACGGAAGGAGCGTGAGATGGCTCCGAAAAATCATAGAAAATGACAGGGATGGATTTGCACAACTTGACCTGACACATTTCCAGTTAGTTTCTGTGTAGTGGTCATATCTGATGACAACTTCTAAATCTATGATTCTGTGGATGCACGTTTCAGTACCAAATTGAACGTGCATTTGACATTGAAACAATCATATTTCAAAACATACTGTTTCATCGTCACATAAATACGTGTAAACAATCTACACATTGAAATGTGCACTGCACTTCTGGTTATGCGCTTTTTGGATATAGTCAGCATACTCTACGTCGTAAAATGGTCCTACAGTATATATATGCTAAATCTGTCCAGAGTATTCGCGTACTACATGGGTCTTCGATGTCTCATGCTGTGGTCTTGAGCATACAGCAGGCTTGATTCCTTGATATGCGGTGCAGACATACGATGCCACATTCTCATGACCCTGCAAATAAATAAACTTACTCTCGTGCATGGCAGTAGTAGACTAGCATAAAATGGCAGATGGTAAGTAATGTGTCAAAAAAGAATACTGTCCATAATGTAAGCTCACTTCCACTTCCAATTGGGGTTGCTTATGAGAAACGAGACCACCAGACGATAGATACGTACAAACATTTGGAAATGAAAGGAAAAGCTGATGGTATGCTGATGCATAAGGTCTTTCAAAATTACTCACGGGATGTTAAATTAAAAAGTGCATCAAGATGCAAGCGAAGTCAACTACTTCCATTAAAGGTTCGCCATTTAAAAGTACCCAGGGAACATATTTGTGCGGTGGTTGCAATCTTTCCATCTCTGCAGCAAACTCCAGTTCCAGCTGCCATTTCAGTCACAAATTCTCAGCATACAAAACACCAGAAAGAAATAGAAAATTCAAATTTATGTTTTGCCAATGCAAAAATGAAAGTGCAAGTGATCTCCATCTCAATGTCACTATTTAAGAGGAAAGCAAGGCCAGGCAAAAAGTACAATCTTACCATGCCAGTTGAAGCACATTAGCAAATCTATTTACAAGACATAGATGCAGACTAGGAACCTTGGCACAGAGGGGAGTGGCAGAGCACCAGTTAAGAGGCTCTAGGTCAAGATGTGATGGATGCACACATGATTTCCAGTCTGTAGTGGCTGTTTTACTGTCAAGATTCTCCAGGCAGTAGATGAAGGAGAGCCAATCCGTCTGTCAAGACAGTGTGGACACCAATGCAAGCCATAATGGTCTAGGGATGTAATAGCTGGTGTAGATTACAGATACCCTCAGTGGGATTGAGTCTCTACAGCAACCTATTGCCCAAACAACCATCTCATAACACTCTTAATACTCTTAAACTGTGGAACCTAAAACATGGTACATCATTGTTAGCTAAAAATTGGTCTTATTTGTTTCAATCTCTTTCTATTCTGTCAGCTATAACACAAGTGAAGGAAGCAAACCTGACAATTGGATTGCAAGATGTTGTGGTTGAACACTAATTCACAAATTAAATGATCCAGCTACATACTGCAGACCTGACCGATGACATACTAATTATATATATATATATATATTTATATATATATATATATTTATATATATATATATATATTTATATACATTTTTGTAATATATCTCCTTCCTGCCACACTTACCCTCAATCAACTGGAACTTTGCTATGCTTTTACCTATGATGACCCCTTGTAGCTCTTTACCTCAAGGTTGCAACCACAACAGTAACACCAGAGCTGAGCATATTGATAGGAAATCTCACCACTTTTGGCCACAACTGAATTGCACATGTCTGGATGATGTTAAGTTTGCACTCTTCAAGACCATGCTGCAACACCATCCAGCATCAGTTGTGAGGTGGGTTAGCAAACTACAGTTGTTTACCTCGCAGGCATTATGATCAAAACACAAGTTCTTTGTTTATTATGTTATTGGACTCACCATCAAATAAGGGGTTAACAAAAATTACATAGGTGGAACTACAACTTATGAAATCCAATAGCACATTCCTACCTGACTAACCAGTGAGCCATCTAAAATGCAGGTGTTTCAAAAGGGGACAATGCAAAGCTCCATGATGTCAATTAGTCCATTGTTGAAAAATGGGTTTACAACTTTGATAATAAAATAAGCACAACATGGGCATAGTGTCTCAGAATACAACTCAAACTTTACCTTCTCTGCACCTACATCACATATTGACTTACTAAATGTGAAGGCACATTTAGAAGCATGATCCATGCATGTGTCTAAGGTAGTAGAAAATCAAACCAACCTGCTATACTTCAACCCAAAAATTGTATCCTCTGCCACAATTTATGCATCTTTACAAGGAGAATTTTTGCACACATCATTTCCACTAGAAACACTTTCAGGAATTAAATCTTGATGAAATATGTTCATGATGTATAGCAAATGAGATGCAAGAATTACATATATAAATGTGATGCTTAGATCCTGTGGTAAGGTGAAGCATCACACCCCTTAATTACTAATTTAGGTAATCTAGGTTACTAATTAATACCTATGAAACCTAAACACTTGAAATGTTTGGGCTTAGATAAAGACTTGGTTAATATATCTACAACCATTTTTATTTTTGAACAAAATAATATTTGAATGTCACCCTGTTCATTTCTTTTACAAAGATAATGATGTGTTATGTCTATGTGTTTAGACCAGTTGTGATGATGAGGACTTTTTGTCAAGGCAATGCAGGATTAGTTGTTGCAATATATAGGTAAAGGTCCCATTTGAGCAAATCCAATTTCTTTCATTAATTGTTTGATCCACATTGCCTTTTTCTACTACTAAAGTACATGCAATATATTCAACCTTGTTAAAATAAAAGTAGAAAATGTTACCTTGTATAGGATATTACCATAGATAAGTTGTTAGTGGTCAAAGGTTTGACTCTTGGTATATGGTAAGAGCATCCAATGGATATAGGACGAAGTCATGGACCAAGAGTCAAAGTCAAAAGGATAAAGTATTAATAAGGGAATATCCGAAGACTAAGTATGAGTCATTAGTGTGTGTCATAGGATATCCTCGTAGTTTGTGAGATACCAAAGGATCCTAAGAGCATATGTGTAAGACGTAAGAGTAATTAGTATTGGACATAGGATACTCTTGGGACTCGTGAGATGCCAAAAGGATCCTAGGGCCATGTGTATAAAAATCAAAGAGTGGACGTTGTCTTTTAGGGCAACAACTACCACCTATAAGTAATGGGTGTTGGAAGTGAAAGATATCTTACTCCATACTCTCTTTGTGTGCAACCTTGCTGATGCTAAGTGTTGTGTCTTCTAAGTACTTGTTTTCTTAATAGGTTATGGCCCCACTCACCTTTATTTGTGAGTTTTGAAGTACTTTGAAGTCTTTCTTGTTGTAAGAAGTAGATCTTATCGTTATTGCTGAAGTTTGAGTTTGTTATCTTCTAATCCTTTTTATGCATCTAGTTGTTGATGTAATTTTTCTCTTATTTATTGTTAAGTGCACTCATAGTCTTTGTTGATCTTAGACTCCATATAATGATGTTTTAGAACTCTAGTGTTATATTTCTTTGCTGAAATTTATCATTGATATTCTAACTTTGTGGTTTCATATACTTAACTTCTTAAGAGATTGTTCTATTTTTACAAGAAGTATTTTTTGTGAGGTTAGAAGTATTTTGTGAAAAAAGAAGGATGATTGAAGAGTGGCAAAGCTTATACAAGAGGTTCAAATAGAGTATAAGACTTGTAAGAAGTCTTTTATGTGAAGTTGAGAGTGATACAAGAGTGAAATCTTTTGTTTACTTACAAAGAGGGCATTCTGGGTTTCTAAGGTAGCAACACCTTCTTATTAATTTTGAGAGTTCTATATCTTCTTTTCTTGATTTTCTTTCACACATCCCTTCCTTAGACATGGCTTCAAGTGAGGGTGAAAGCTTGAGAGTAATTGAGAAGTTTAGGAGTGACAACTTTTACCATTGGAATAAGAAAATAGAGCTTTTGTTGGCTTCATTGGACCTTTGGGACATTGTTGATGAAAGTGAAGACCCTCCAAGTGACAATGCTGATATCAAAGTGAAAAAGGAGTACAAACGTTGTGAAAGGAAGGCTTTTGGAATGATTGCAACAAACCTTGATGATGCCAACTTTTCACATATTATAGCTTGCAATGTACCAGTGGAAGCATGGAAGACTTTTTGCAACATCTATGAGAATAGAAACCTTGCCAACATCCTTTGGACAAGAAGGAAGTTCTTGACAGTAAAGATGGAAGAAAGAGATGACTTCATAGCTCATATTAATAAGGTAAAAGTACTTGCTAACCAACTAGCAGTTGTTGACAAACTAGTTGATGATAAGGACATTATATTGACATTGCTCATGAGCCTTCCCGAATCCTATAACTACCTCATTGTGGCATTGGAGTCCATCAAAATGAAGGAGCTTACCATGAATTATGTCACGTCAAGACTTGCCTATGAAGTGAGCAAGAGAAAAGAAAAGGAGATTACAAGTGATGATTCGGCTCTATTTTCAAGACAAGGCAAAGGTAGCTATTCTCACCAATGTGATAATTCAAAAAGCAATGTGAAGAATTACTATATTTGTGAGAAACCAGGTCATTTTGCTAAAAATTGCTACAAGGCCAAGAAAGGAGATAGGGAGAATGCAAACAATGCTAGTGATAGTTTTGGTGGAGATGAGTATGCTTTCATGGCAAAGGAAGGAGCCTCCATGGTTGCCATGTCAAAGTGGATTATAGATTCAGGTGCTACTAAGCACATGACACCATACAAGTGTTCATTTGACACTTATGAAAAAATTCCAGCAACAAAAGCGTGGTTCAGAGACAATGGCATGGTACAAGCCATTGGAATTGGCTCCATTGTAGTGGAGATTGTTGTGAAGGACCAAATGAAGAGGATCAAATTGAAAGAAATCCTACATGTGCCAAAAATGAAGAAGAACCTCATTTTGGTGAGCAAACTTGTATCACATGGTTGTAAGGTTCAATTTGACATGAATGGATGTTTTGCCAAGACATTGGATCGCCAACATGTTGCCAAAGGCGTTAGAGATGGAAATCTCTATTTCATCAATTACAAAAAGGTGAATAGAGTTGAAGTGGCGACATTTGGTGATTTTCCACAAGATCAAGACAAGTTTAGAATTTGGCATCAACGACTTGGTCATTTGAATACCAAATGCATGAAGGAGCTCCAATCCA